GATATGTTTAATAATAGTATCATTCAAAAAAAATTGAAAACACTTCAATGGTGTATCCAGATTTTTAAGTTCTGCGAGGTCAGGCTCATTAAAGGATATTGCTGATTTATACATGACAAGGTTCGTTTGGTGCCACAAAATCTTTTTGATAAGCGGTGCTTTTGTGTCGATACTCCAAACAGATCCAAATTCAGCTATTGTGCTTTCCTTAACATAAGCAGTTTTATGCTCAGCCGGCGCTTTACGTTTGCGTTTCTGTGCTTGAGGTGAATTGGACGCAATCGAACTTGAGGATGAAAACAATTTTGTAAAAGCAGTAGAACTTTCCCTTGAAGTTACACAAACCTCTCTAGCCACATAGAATCTGACATATGTAGCACTTTTTCAATCGCTTCTTCATCTTCCTCATTGACAGGAAGTGCTGCCTCAAAAACACCATTAGTCAAATCATCCTCCAATTCTTCTTCTTTTTCCTTATCAATGTCAAAATCAACAGAATTTAATAATTTTTCAATCTCCACGTCGAAAAGAGCGGATAGCTTATTTACTTATCGTCGTTTCATGTCTACTGAAGCAATTATTTGTACTTCAAAAAGTCATAAGTTGTTTCCCTTTTAAACTTACCTTATACATTTTTATTCGCGCATTGTCCCAAGACCGCCTCTAGACGGGATACTTTATAAAAGCAATAAAAAGCTAACGAAAACGTATTTTTAGTGTGGGTTTCGTATTTTGCGTCCTTGAGTATATCAGCAACACGGTATAATTTTTGTCCCAGCAGCAAACTATTAATAATATTTTTAAAAAATGTTTACGTTTTTCACTTTTTACAAAATAATTACTTCGTCCGAGTTGCACAAATTTGCTGCTTTAAATGAATACAGCAACTTGCGCAAGCTCTAGTATGTATTCCAAACGCAACACACATATTTTTTGGACTTCCCCGAATTAGAAAAAATTCAAAAAAGAATCAAAACGAATGAAACTAATAAAATAACGGTATTTTTAACATTACCCGTCTAGAGGCGGTCTTGGGCACTAGAGGGTTAATAGCGCATGATCCAATCGAGTAAGGATTGTTACCTCTGCGTTGCTTTATGGCGTCACTGGTAGGCGTGCGCATGCATTTGTCGCCTTCACATTTTCCTGACGTAAGCTCTGCATTTAAATATTTATAACAATTATAGGCTGCCGCCGTCTCTAATACGGCTTACTACATAGAATATTGACCAGTACTATGGCTGATCCTCAAACTTTTGAAGATCAGGCAATCTACGTGGGGCCCATCTATTTGACAAGCTCGCTGCTGCATTGAATTCGGGTGAGGGCATGATATCGCATGGTTGTGCTGTGGCTCCCGTAATGCGTGAACGTTCTGACTGCACCTTGGCTGCGACATAACATGGCGGCAAGAAGCTAATGGTTGTAAAGCGTGGACTTAAATATGGCGACAAGCTTCCGTTCAATTGTGGTGATTTGCAGGCCAAGGTTCATCATAACATGGAGTCACTGACTTAGTGGCCCCGAACAAAAATTTTCACTCAAGAGTTGTTTCCCCGTTGCTGTCAAGCATAGCACCTTTCCTACTTATTGGATATCTGGCACCCTATCAGGATTCCCGTTCTATATTTTCCTCTGCATGTAAGAGCTCCTTCTCCGGAATCGCAATGTTTTTTATGAGTGTCGCAATCTGTGTAGTCGTTGGGTCCAAAGCGTGTCCTTGCCGTTCCGCTTGAGCAGTGTTTATGGTTGGTTTTACCCCACTGTTCTTCGGCCCGTGGTCTCTAAGTGTACAGTGTATCAGGTGCTGCAGATGTGATTCTTTAAATTGATTAAGTCTGTCTATGCTGCGTATGTGCGCTTGGACTTCCAACTCCAAGCAAGCGAATAAAGATTGGAGCTGCCTCTTACACTCTGCCTTTCACCAAAACAAAAAAATACAATATCTTGTATCTTATAATGAACGTTAAAGTGGTGCGAAACCCAAACCTGACTATTTTATGTAGTTTGTGCTAATATTTGAAGTGTTTTTGCCGACTGAATGGGGGCTGTTAGGGGAATGGTAACTTTAATTTCCATTTAATTCTTATTAAAGTCCCTTTTTTAACCTATTTTTCCCTCACGATCTGAAACTCTAATGGTTTTATCTGGATTAATCTCCAAACATTTCATTAAATTATATTATATTACAATAATTTAACTATAAGCCAAGTTCACTGTGAAATAAATGTCCAGTAAGAACAGTTTTAAATAAGGAGTACCCCTGTTATATAAAAAAAACAACAAAAAAAAAAACTAGGCGCTTACTTGACCACAATTAATGCAAGTGAGATGATCGTCCTCTGATATGTTGCATAGTGCTGTAAGATATTTCTAAGCACTCTCGCCTCATGTAACGTACAGTATACTTTGCCGGCAGTAGTTTTAATAGTCCATAACCTTGACATTTGTAGCATATGATACTGTCCATCTTTTCCTGAAGATTTCCTCCAATAGTTGTCTTTGTCTTCCGATAGTTTTAATTTTCGACACTATTTTGTTATTGCACCTGAGGGAAAGATTAATGATGATGATGTTAATGAAAATGAAGTGGTAGGGAATTATTTCTTCAGGTCCTCTTTACTTGATCCTTCCTTCTTTCAGAAAATAAATTAGTCACATGATGAATTACCGAATAATAGAATTATTTTATAATTAGCCAATTAATTAGTTTATAATCAGGCCATTGCCGAATTGAACCAGAAAGTATAAAAATCACTTTTTCGAAAATTCAAATTTAATATAAATTTAAAATGTTCAACATTACTAAAACTTTACTGGAACCAATACCAATCTTTTGAAACAATTTTTTCACACGAAGTATTCACCGTCAACCATTTCGGTTCAGCTTTACACTTATAATATCCAAGCAGCGAACATTGGGAACTAAAGAACTGCGCCGAGAAATTCAGGTCGGTACGCTGGAAAAAAAAAAATAATAAATCAAATGTCACTTGCTTTCTTAATCTTCACTTACTTTCCTACCATAGTAGACAGGAATTAATTAACTTGCCTTCACTAAAAAAACGTAGAACGATACTGAAAGTCTGTTTCTTACACAACGCTTTTATTATACTAAAATATGGACTACAAACAATTTTCCTCCTTAGCCATTGTAGTCCAACAAACGCCCAACATGATTACTATTTTACATCTTCTATTCTTAATTCTTTATCTGAGCAACAATCTTCCCGGTAATCTCCTACAGTTTTTTTCAAACTCGGATCTATCTCTGCGATTTTCCGATTTTGAGCTCTCCTATTTGTCTTACTTGATAGCTCAAGCTTAAAAAAAAAGGTTTTCATTGAGAAAGTAGTTTTTCATTTTTCGCAAGAAAATATGCTAGCTTTCTTAATAAAAAAGGCACTTAAGTGCCCATTCAAACCAAACAAAAAAAGTTTATTTTTGTCTTAGAGAATGCTCTTTCTTATTGTTTTTTGCTGCTTACGCACACAATCAAATGTTAAAATGTGTGCATGTTGGCCAACACACATGTGTGCATTTATATAAATAACTAAGTAGGTCTTAAGTAAGTCATTTGATTCATTAATCATCAGAGACATCAGAAATTATAATCTTATATTATGAAAACGTTCTGTTCTCGGCTTTCTTTCGAAAATCTCGAATGTTAAAAATATGTCTAACAAGAAAGGAAAGCTAACTTTGGGCGGAGCCGAAGTTGATATACCCGGTTGAAGTTGATTGCAGTTAAAACCGGATATATATCGCAAACATCGGATACAGTTTGCCGATCCTTATGAGAATATCATAATAAAACCAATTAACTAAAATAAAAAATCTAACAAAAAGTCCCAAGCTTCTATCTTCAAATATGCGAAAGTTGATATTTCTACCAAATACTATTTCCGATCGTTCATTAACCATATGGCAGCTATAGAATATAGTAGGCCGATCCTTACGAAATTTGGCATGTCGTATTTTGACAAAAATAGCGCTCAAGTAAAGTTTGAACTCTCTTACTCAAAAAATACCGAAGTTATACCATCTCCGATCAATCAGTTATATGGCAGCTATAGGATATAGTTGGCCGATCCCGGCCGTTCCGACTTATATACTGCGTGCAAAGGAAAGAAGAGTGTGTGCAAAGTTTCAAGACGATAGCTTTAAAACTGAGAGACTAGTTCGCGTAGAAACAGACAGACAGACAGACGGACAGACGGACATGCTCATATCAACTCAGAAGGTGATCCTGATCAAGAATATATATACTTTATAGGGTCGGAGATGTCTCCTTCACTGCGTTGCACACTTTTGGACAAAATTATAATACCCTCTGCAAGGGTATAAAAATAGAAGTTAAAAAATTATGTAGATGGCATCTAGTGTCTCTCAGGAGTCCTCCTTTGTTGTTTTCTTTTTGACTCTGATCTTCAAAATGTTAGTTGCTAAGGCGTTACCTGGGTCAATTTAACCATAGGATATCGGTTAAAAATATTATTTCTGTAAACATTAATAAAACGAGGAAAACAAATTTCAGAAATTTAACATGGGTCCAAAAAGTTTTACAATCATACTATATAAGAAATAAGATACATATCTCTATCTTTCTGTAATACTGATATTGATACTGATTGTAAATTTAAATTGAATCATTGAAAAAAACTTGTCTTGGGGTTAAACTCCTTCCGGGGCGTGTGGAACTTGTCTTGGGGTCATACTTCTTCATATTCTAATTCCTGATCTGTGGGACTCAAAATAACATCTGGAACTGCTATATTTTACTGTATCTTACCGTTACCGATCGTTAGATATGATGATATGATTATGATTTTTATAAAATCCTCTTCACATTTTTAAATCTGTATTTTGTTTCTTTGTCTACGTTTGAAATAATTAAATTTTTACTTGTCTCTAAGTTTTAATTAATTTTAAGATCGTCTTTAATAAAAAATTTAATATGTATATAGTAATATTTATATGAAATAATTTTATGAAAACAGGATGAATTTCACCCCTTTATTGAGGCTCTTTTACCATACGTAAAGTCATTTTCCTACTCATGGTTTAATTTGCAAGCCGCAAAACGAAAATATTATAAGAAACATGAAAAAAGAATGTCATTGGAAGAGGAAAGACACTGCAAGGATGAACTGCAGGTAAGGATAAATATATTTCTACTAATAATGAAGTGAGTGTCATTTTATAAATATACTTATTATAGAATGAAAAGAGTGAAGTAAAACAAAAGTGGGCCTCACGATTACTTGGAAAACTCCGAAAAGATATTACTCAAGAAAGTCGGGAGGATTTTGTACAATCAATAATCGGCAAGCGCCAATCTATTTGTGTGCTTTCAAATCCTGACCAAAAAGGAAAAATGCGTCGCATTGACTGTTTGCGACAAGCTGACAAAGTGTGGAGACTTGATTTGGTTATGGTCATCCTTTTTAAAGCAATTCCATTAGAAAGCACAGACGGCGAGCGCTTGGAAAAAAATCCGGACTGCCTACACCCAGGCTTGTGTGTTAATCCATATCATATAAATGTGTCTGTCAGAGAGCTTGACTTATATTTGGCTAACTTTATAAACACCCATAATTCAGTTCCACACACAAGCTCGAACTGTTCCACCATAGTACGTTCAATATCACGATCACCTCTGTTGACATTATATAATCGTAGTGATTTATCGAATAAAAAGGATGATGGTGAAGATATGAAAAATGAGAAAATTAAGCACAACCCTTATAATGGAGTAATGTGTAACGATATTATTTTAGCAACTGGAGTGTTTTCGTCAAAAGAACTATGGGAACTATCAAAAGGTACTGTTCTTCTTGTCATCTGAATATATGTTGTCAAAAAACTTTTATAAATTAGACATACGGAATCACACCATAAACATTTTAAGGTTTTGAAAAAATTTCGTTAATTCGAAAAAATTCCATACATTTTGGTCGTACTACATTCGTAGTATTTGGCGCAACGCAAAAAATATTGAACCACTTATAAATCGTAATTTTATTTCATAACCTCTTATAAATCGCTGTGCATTAGGAATTTTGTGTTTCTCTTAATGTTTTCGTTAAGTTTGCTGTTACCAATTATTGTTACCAAAAATGACCAATTACACAGCCACACAAAAAAAAAAAAGTGTCCGGGTTGGGAGATCAGAGTACCCTACCCCCATGTATTTTGGACCGCTGAACACGAATCTGAAGTCCGTTTTGGTCCTGCACGTGTACGTTTCTTCCTAACCTCAAAAAAAGTTTTACATTTTTGGAGGTATGCGACTTTTTTTTTAATTTATTGGATTTTCATGAAACTGGGTACCCAGGGGTTTTTGGGGTCGCTGATTACGAATTCATGCAACCTCCTCGTGGTGTACATCGGGTAATGCTAATGCCGACGGTCCAGGTTGAGTTTATTTCATTTTTCATAAAAATCCAACAATTTTTTGAAAATTCGTCCGCCATATTGAATCCGCCATATTGAATTTGGAAAATCTTACTTTAGATTCGTAATCAGCGACCCCAAAAACCCCTAAGTACCCAGATTCATGAAAATCCAAAAATTTTTCAAAAATTCGTCCGCCATTTTGGATCCGCCATATTGAATTTTGAAAATCTGACTTGAAATTCGTAATCAGCGACCCCAAACACCCCTGGGTACCCAGTTTCATGAAAATCCAATAAATTAAAAAAAAAGTCGCATACCTCCAAAAATGTAAAACTTTTTTTGAGGTTAGGAACAAACGTACACGTGCAGGACCAAAACGGACTTCAGATTCGTGTTCAGAGGTCCAAAATACATGGGGATAGGGTACTCTGATCTCCCAACCCGGACACTTTTTTTTTTTTTTGTGTGGCTGTGTTATTTTAAAGCTTGAATTTTTGTCTTTTAAAATTTAATGATTCTGCTTAATTGCTTAATTTTTTTTTATAATAATGTTATGTTATTGTTTTATTTTCCTTTAATTTGAAAAACATACAAATGAATATACATACTTATTATACCCTTGCAGAGGGTATTATAATTTTGTCCAAAGGTGTGCAACGCAGTGAAGGAGACATATCCGACATCTATAAAGTATATATATTCTTGATCAGGATCACCTCCTGAGTTGATATGAGCATGTTCGTCTGTCCGTCCGTCTGTCCGTCTATCTGTCTGTTCGTTTCTACGCGAACTAGTCTCTCAGTTTTAAAGCTATCGTCTTGAAACTTTGCACACACCCTTCTTTCCTTTTCACGCAGTATATAAGTCAGCTCGGATCGGCCGATTATATCCTATAGCTCCAATATAACTGATTGATCGGAAATGGTATAACTTTGGTGTTTTTAGAGTAAGAGAGTTCAAGTTACAGAAGTGCTACTTTTGGCAAAATAATACGACATGCCAAATTTCATAAGGATCGGCCGACTATATCTTATAGCTGCCATAAAACTGAATGATCGAAATTGACCTAACTTTCGTGTTTTTGAAGATAGAATTAAATGGAATTTAAACATGTCTGTGCCGGTTTCACTGCATCAGTTTCGGATGCCATTTCCCGTAGGTCTGGGATACATTATTGTTGTGAAAATTGTCGTGCTGTGCAAGGCGAAATGAGGTCGTTCATGTGACAGACCAAAAATGTATTTAAAGAGCTTATCATTGGTTTCGTAAAATCAATGATCAGCTCTGTGCGCTTGACACTCAATTTAGTGGCCTTCAGCTGAGAAAAATTCGTCAGAATTTCTCAGGGATAATGAGCAATTGTCTGATATGTCCGCCATGGCATCCCTTCAAGTGATGCCACAAGTCCTAGGGAACGAAACTCCATTAGAGTCACCCAAAAGGGTATTCCACAGTCCGGACCACTGGCACCGACTGATGCTGCAGTTCTCGTACCTGCGACACCAAAACCCTTACGGGTGATTCCTCCATCGAAACATATATTTGTTTCTCGGCTTGCCCCTGATACTTCAGAGTTTGATATCTCGGCTTATATCAAAGCCAAAACAAAAGCCGATATAAAGGTGGAGGACATAACTAAATTTAAATATAATTATACACGGCGCACGTCTTCTTTCAAGATTCGTGTGCCCGCGCTGATGTTCAAGACGATTTGTTCTCCCAGTTTTTGGCCAGAGAATCTTTTCGTCCAAGAACATCAGCCTAGTTCCGTGAAGAAAAAACTTAAAAAACCAGTGGGAGTGAGACTTCCCAATATCGGAACCACTGACCAACCCTCCACCTCTTCTTTGGCTACTAACCCAAAAAACTAGTTTCCTCATAAACTCTCACCTATCAGAATACTAGGGGGCTACGTAGCAAACTCCCCAAGCTATATTCTGATAGTTCTTTCTTTGTATCCCATATAATAGCATTTACATAAACTTGGTTAAATCCGGAGATCTTTAGCTCCGAAGTTTTTCCAAGTAAGTACACCACTTTTAGACGGTATCGATCTCAGCGAAGAGGAGGTGGAGTCCTCATTTTGGTAGACTCTACTCTTGATTCTGAAGAGGTGAAATCCCATGAGCTTGGTGACATAAAATTTATTTGCATTAAAATCACTATGTCCGTTAAAGCTTTATACGTTACATGTTCATATATACCTCCTATGTCTGAACCGCCTACATATTGGCAGCATTTGTCCGCCATTCGATACGTCTCTAATCTTATGACGGATCGTGACCAACTCGTAGCGGTGGGCGACTTTAATATCCCAGAATTAAAGTGGTCCAACGTCGATAACTCACCATCTTTGTCATTTGTAACTTACCATGACTTCACCGCGGGCATGTTTGACATGTCCCTAGGTCAGATCAATCATGTTAGAAATTCGCTAGGTCGGCTTTTAGACTTATGTTTTGTATCTGATCCTGATGGGACTGCTCTCTCCAGAGCTTTTCCCCTTTCAACCCCAGAGGATCCATATCATCCCACGCTGGAGGTCTCAATCGAAACCACTCCTGGTATCGATCAGATGTCTCCGAGCGTGGTAAATAAGATTCGCTGTTTCCGTAAAGCTTATTTTCAGAAACTTAATAGCCTTATCGATACATTTGACTAGTCTGATATTCTGGCGTGCACTGATCTTAATGTCACTTTAGAAAAATTTTATTTTACTTTAAATACATTTTTTGACTCATGTGTGCCTTGGAAATATCCGTCCGCTTCAACAAATCCTCCATGGTTTACAAGGTGCCTCACTAACCTAAAAAATAAAAAAAATAAGCCTTTACTTAAATATAAAAAAACCTGCAATAGTGTTGATTTCTCAAGATACCTACTAGCTTGGTCGAATTTTACAGTGCATAACGCCGAATGTTATAGGAATTATATTGACCGCTGCCGGATACAATTTACTCAGGATCCAAAGCAGTTTTATAATTTTGTAAACACTAAGCGTAAACACGTATCTTTTTCACCCCTGATTACGTTTGAAAATTCCTCTGCGACTTCTGATCAGGCCATTGCCGATCTATTCGCAGAATTTGTTCAAACAACTTTTTCTCCTCCTAAATTTACTGATCAGCCTTACGCATATAACATTCAAGCAGCAAATCTTATTTTCTGTCTGTTTTTTTCTGAGAAAAACTTATTATCTGGTCTTTTAAGGGTCAAACCCATTTATTCGCCAGGCCCCGATGGAGTACCAGGCTGTGTGCTAAAATACTGTGCCAGGGCTCTGTGCAAACCTCTACTTAGACTTTTCAACTTATCTTTGGAAACCTCGATTTTTCCCCTTAAGTGGAAGGAATCATTTATAATTCCCCTACATAAAAAAAAGGAAAAGTTCGATGCTGCCAACTACAGAGGCATCTCTAAGTTGTCGGCAATTCCAAAGTTATTTGAAAAATTAATTACCCCTCACTTGCAACACCTTTGCTCTTCGATCATCTCTCCCTGTCAGCATGGCTTTATTAAGCGTCGCTCCACCACCACAAATTTACTGGATTTGACATCCTTTGTCATAGATGGCTTTTGTAAAGGATATCAAACCGATGTAATTTACACAGACTTCAGCAAAGCATTTGATTCAGTTAATCACTCACTCTTATTGAGTAAACTGAATATGATGGGTTTTCCTATAGACCTCTTAACGTGGATCTCCAGCACACAAAGAGTCTTTTTTAAAAACATACAGTCCCGTCTGGTCCGTGCTACATCTGGCGTCCCTCAAGGAAGTTATCTTGGCCCGCTATTATTCACGCTTTTTATTAATGACTTGCCCCCTGCTTTAACGAACTCTCTAGTTCTTATGTATGCAGATGACGTAAAGCTTTGTCTTCTGTACAAGTCCATCTCTGCCCAATGCAGTCTTCAGTCTGACCTTGATAACTTTCAAGAATGGTGTTTAGCTAATGATCAGGGCCGTAGCTAGAGCCTCGGGGGCCCTGGGGCAACAAGAAAATTTGGGGCCCCCTATACGGAAGTCTTTTGTCAAATTTTAAAGTACGCTTAGGGTTGTCTATGTGTGAAACGTTTGAATTTCCCGCGCGTATAGTGGTCGCGAACACTGTTCGATACCTCGATTGACGCGAATCAGCTGCTCAATTGAGGTGCTATTGACAAACAATAGGATCGGACAATTGCATAATTATTCTGCTTACAATTATATAATTGTTAACTTGCGCGATGAAACGTATTTATCCCAGCGGAGCGATAAAAGAGGGGCAAAATTAAAGAAAGAGAATGAAGCAAAAAAGATTTCCGGGAAATTCGTTAAGTGGTTATCATCCACGCCTGCATCGTCTCTTGATACGGGAACTGTTCAAGGTATATGAATTCAAATAATCAATCAATTTATCCTATAATTCATCCCAAAATAATC